CACTGTTCATACAGTAGAGGGGTGTGCCCCCCCCCCCCGAGTCCTCCTTCCTCTGGCTGTGCCAACCTCTGACTGGCCATTTCAGTCTGGGAAAGGTCAGCTCTGCCCCCTGACCCCAGGATGTTTCCACTGATTGGATTATAAGCGCCATAATAGATGTAGAGTGGCGTGACCCCCGAGTCCTCCTTCCTCTGGCTGTGCGGGGTCAGGGCCCACCTCTGTGACTGGCCATTTCAGTCTGGGAAAGGTAAGCTCCGCCCCCTGACCCCAGGATGTTGCCACTGATTGGTTTATAATGTCCTCCCTGAGGTCTCAGTCAGAGCCGCGTGCTGATCCACCAACTGCTGTGGGAAATATTTTTGGCAATCGCTGTGAGGTGACATGGAGGTTGGCCCTGCACTCCGCTCATAGTCTGACCTCTGATGTAAATGAAGATATGATATGTAGATATAAAACCCGATCACTGAAATCAAGATTTTACATGTTGTAATTTTACTCTAATAAATAATCCCTGCTGGTCCTGCCTTGTTCAGGTATTTCCTGTTACAGGGTGACAACGCTCCGTCGCTTTCTCCAAATTGTGCTCATGTGTTGTCGCCTGGGCTTCCGATGGAGACTACAAGTGGCCTTTTCATCACAGATGGTCCTCTGTTGTCACCATCAGGAAACCCGCCCCTAGAAATGTAATCACTCCATCACTGGCATTGGCGTTCTTCTCAGACTCTACTCTGTATACATTTCAGGTAATACCTTCCTTGGTGTCGGCCTCTTCCAGTCTACCTGCAGGACGGCTGTCACAGCTCAGGCTCCCATCCTGAGGTGGCCATTGCCCGGTGCTGATTCCAGGGAAGTCGGGTCCCCCGTACATTCTGTAGGGGGCCCCAGAACCAGCACTGAGCACCCAGAGTCAGGATTCTTTCCGTTTCTGATGTGTAGTCCTCTATGGACCTGGCTTCACCCACATCTGCCATTGTAGAGGTACACTGAGGAGGGACACAGACACTGCAAAGTGCAGGAACCATTATCGGCCAATCGTATGTCACCGCAGACAGGAATGCTCGTTCTTGATTGGTTGCTGTGAGAGACACAATCTGTATATTGTCAGAGGGCAGAGTAGTGGAGGTTAAGTGAGGCTGTACTGAAGGCAGCGGTTGGATGGAGTCGTACCAGGAGGCCGTAGTGGGGCAAGGTTTAGGTGAGGCAGTACCAGGGCAAGGGGTTGGGTAAGGCTGTACAAAGGAAGAAGTTCAGGTGGGGGTGGAGGTCGGGAGAGGCCATACAGGAGTCGGGTGAGGCAGTACTTGTGCAAAGCTCAAGCGAGGCGATACCAGAAAAGACAGTAAGTCACAAGAGGCCGTACCTGGGGCAGAAGCTTCTGTGAGGCAATACCAGGAGCATGGGTCAGGTGAAGGCATACTGGAGGTGGAGTTCCGGTGAGCCCATGCTGAGGGCAAAGGTCGGGTGAGTCTGTACTGGGGGGCGGAGGTTGCGTGAGGCCATACCAGGAACGGCGGTCAGATGAGGCTGTACAGGGGAAGAAGTTCAGGTGAGTCAATGCTGAGAGCGGAGGTTGTGTGAGGCTAAACTAGGAGCGGAGGGCAAGTGAAGCCATACTGGATAATATTCAGTAGACATGTGCACTGCCAAAAAATTTGTTTAGTTTCGTTTTAAATTCGGATTTGTGTTATTTCGTTTTTCAGGATTCGTGTGTGAAAGTCAATTCGGATTCAGAATTCGGATTCGGACGAAATTCGGTAGCGTTAGTACGAACGTTCGTTTCGTTTTCTGTTCTTATTCGTTTCTTATTCGTTTCGTTCGTTCGTTCGTTTGCAGCAAAAGTGACATTTGAGGGGGAAAAAATATTTTTCTCCTTCTCTAATGTCACTTTGCTCCAACGAACGAAACGAATAAGAACAGAAAACGAAACGAACGTTCGTACTAACGCTACCGAATTTCGGAAATGGAAATTCGGATTCGTTTGCATTCGTTATGTCTGTAATTTGGAAATTCGGATACATCCGAATTTCCAAAAATTCGTCCGAATTTCGATTCGGAACGAATCGCACATGTCTAATATTCAGGTGAGGGTGTACCAGGGGGCAGAGGTCAGGTGAGGGGGCAGAGGTCAGGTGAGGGTGTACCAGGGAGCAGAGGTCAGGTGAGGGTGTACTAGGGAGCAGAGATCAGGTGAGGGTGTACTAAGGGGCAGAGGTCAGGTGAAGGTGTACCTGAAGTGGAGTTCAGTTGAGTCGAAACTAGAAGTGGAGGTCAAGTGAAGCCGTACTGCATAATATTCACGAGGCCTCCGGGGGGTGGAAGTCAGGTGAGGGCTTACTAGAGGTCAGGTGAGGCGGTAACCGGGGGGCGGAGTTCAGGTGAGTCGGTACCAGGGTGCAGGGGTCAGGTAAAACCATACAGACATGGGGGGGTGAGGCCATACCGGTGGCAGAGTTCTGGTGAGGAATTTGTAAGGCCGGACTCCGGGCGGATATAAAAACACCGTCTACTCCACCTCCGGACTTGTCACAGGAAATTAAACTTTTTGTTTATAGAACTATCCGGAATATGTGATATTGGCCCAATGAAGGGGGGAGGGGCAACACCGGGAGCCAATCAGGTGTGCTGCGTGCACATGTGCTGACAGGAAGAGTGAGCAGAGAGATGACCTCATCAGCGTGCTGCTGCTGCTCCTCCACTGTCCAGCCACAGCATGGTGGCGGAACCCCCACATTGTGCTTCGC